GAAACGCACATTAAAAAAAGCATATTTGTGCCAAATATTCAATGGCTTTGATGGCGTTCCACCAATTTATTCTCTGATCAGCTTATTTAGGTCCCTGTGAAAAGTTATTGATCTCCTTGAAGAAGCACATCAGGAACTACTATCAAAAAATCTCACAAAAAGCAAGGCCACAATCACTCATTTGACTGAAGAACAATCTCTGCATACATGAGTTAGAACTAAATATAAAGATATTTACATACAATTAACACACACATAGATCTAAAAGTTAAAAGGGCTACACAGTATTTTTTCCATAACTTTAAAAAAGTGTCAGCATTGGAAAAGAAAATTAGGAATGGTAACCCAGCAAAAGGCCTGTAAACTCCTTGATTTTTATCCCATGTACTTTTGAAAATACTGTTAGTTGCACATTTGCTGCCAAGTACCTAATTACCTTTAAAAATCTAGCTCTACACTGCTAAAGCTCTTGAGTGATCGAGGTATCAACATCACTCATCATTATGGAGCTAATTTTAATGATGAAAGCATTGCTAAAAGTTATTTTAAAATTCATTTTTACTTTAACTTCTTTAGAGATGATTTGTTTGAGTACCTGAGACACAGTAACTAATCACTGATGGTTTTCTTTGCAAATATAAAATAGATTTATATGCCCTCCCTGTAGGAAAAAGAATTCCATCACCTCCTCCTGAATTTCTGAGCTATCGAATATTTGATGAGTGCTTAGGGAATCAGTATTGTGTCTTTTCACAGCAGTAATCAAGGAATGAAGTATTCTCTGTCATAATGAATCTACTGCAGGACTAAAAGATGAATATTTCAAATGCAAAAGCAATATGTTTGTTTTGAACACATTTAAGTTTGGCTTTAATAAAGCAAGTAGTGAAGTGTGCAATGAATTATATTGTTAGATGGTTAAAACAGAGCCATGCAATATGTCTGAATGCATTTAATCCAAGTAACTACTCATTTTAAATGTGACTTATAAATATGTATTACATGTATATAGATGGATGGATGACTCAGGAACCATGAGAGATCTGGGCCTTGCCTTCCACTCCCGGCTTGCTTCAAAACCAGCTCAGCCTGACAATTAACCAAGGCCTGGAGCCAGAACATCATTAACCACAAGCTGAATGTTATGTGGGCTGAAACTGGGCATGTGCACCAACGATTCAAGTCAGGATCATTTAAATCAAGCCTGAGGTGGCCGGCTGGGCTGGGACCTGCTGTGTGTGTTCCAGCAGATGGTGGGTCCCAGTGTGCAGCCACCGGCAAATTCAAGATGCCCACAAAGCAATGAGCCCCTCAGCCAGGTCTGTCACTGTGGTGGTACCATTTCTGCAGATCCAGAGGCCTTTACTGCAAACCATGAGGATGCTGTTGGCAGGGGTTAATGGGCATGTCTAGTTAAACATCTCCCACTAGCACCAGCTTCACTTTGAGAAACACCACATAACCCCAACACTGAAAGGAATGGCCATAATGTGTTCTCCTGAAAAACTTGTCAGAAGGCAAAGAGAAATCACAGACATTCTCTCATTTGTCTCCAGAGGACTTTGATTTTTGTTAAAATAACGAGTTCTTTTTGACAACAAAGAAAATCCAGGTTTCAGAGCCCAGTCAGAGCAGGCCAGCTCATCTCATTTGCAAACTGAGAATACCTGCTAGAGTCCCCACAGTGCTATTTTGTGTGAGACCCTCTCAGTGTCTATCCACAATGAGATACAGAGATGAGCAGTTATAGCAGTTTGTATTTGCAAGAATTGTTTCCTAAGTTCAACTAGTAATTTTTTTTTTAAATCAGGTCAACTGACCTACAGCACACAAACAGAAACAGAATTTATCAACAGAGCTTACAATGAAAGCAATGAGAAAAGCACAGACTTAATTTGCATTTACAACAAAGTTCCAAGTGCTTCAGTTATTCCAGTTCAGAACCAATGTACTTTACCTGGAAATTGCCCCTGAAATAATGAATTCAATAAGGAAAATTCTTATATAGTCCAAGTTAAATTATTTAAAAAGGAAGAAAGAGGGTTCTTAATTATTTAATGTTTCACCAATAATTATATAGTTCAGTATAATGTTCGCTCACCAGAAAACCTGATTTTCAAAGGAACATTTGTGAACATCAGTCAAACAAAAAACACCTGCCAGACTATAAACTCAGTTAGTGCAGTACACATTCATTCCAACACAGCATTACTGCATTAGCAAAAATCCAAGTCTTGACTTAATGGCAAATCTATCCAATAATTGATGTTAAAATATTTACACAGGAAAGCACGCATGACTCAGTTTTCTAATGCATTTGTAAAAAACACTATGACCTCTCTTGCTACAATTTTTTTACAGTTAAGTTCTAGGTAAATGAGTTTGAGATGGGACTACAGCTCTGGAAAATTGAAAGCTATAAAATTAGTACTTGAGTAATCTAAACTGCCAATCAAAATGTGACCACGGACATCTTAGGGACATTTCATTCAAAAGTCACAAAGAATCAGTTTTAAAAGACAGCTTTAAATTAGCTACATGAAATACCAGCCATGGTATGCTTAGCCACATGGAGCCCTGGGGAGCAAGGCTCAGGGAACACCAAGTGTTTCTGAATAAAAAGGTTTTTCCAAGTCGTGGATCACCAGCTCCAGCACACAACACACAGCTGAGGGAGCTAAAACAGCACCTTAGTCAAACAAAGTACAGATCTGCAAAGGATTATCATCACCCATTAATAACCCTATGTACAACAGCTCAAGCTATATAGGAAAACTCTGGAAAACCCTCATGACGGCCAAAACAGCAGTTGTCATGTTGATGTCCTTAGAGTTTACTTACACAGGCCAGAATTCAGCACGTGCCCTTCCACACTGGGAGCTCTGGGCTCTACAAATCTTCCTTGACTGTTCTCTGTCTTGGAGCAAAGCTACCCAGAAGGAAAACCTGATACACACTCACAAGTTTAACAGCACAGCGTTGATTTCTCATTTCAACCCAAAGGCAAAGAAAAAAAATACCAAAAAAAAGAAACCCATTTTCTTTCTGCTGCAAACTAGGTTGTCCCTGGGTCATTTTGCCAAAGAATTACCTTATTCCCACTCTCTGGGAAAGATCAGAGACTGTTTATCAGTAATGGTTTCAGATTTCATGGCTCCTGGAGCAGAGGAGCTCAGCTGCACCATCATCCACACTTTACAGCCTCATGTCCTGCAGCCTGCAGGGCTGGAAATGATGAAAAGTATAGATTTCTGCTTCCCTGAAGGGACTGCAACACTCAGTTGTGGTCTTGAAGAGCCTGAGGTCTCCTACAGTCAAAGATGGTTTTTTTTAAACAGCATTACAGATTATTTTAAGTCATTTTTAGTGAGTTTAATGCCTCCCTTGGACTTGTGCAAAGTGGGACTTGCAGTAAGTGCAGCACCTGGCTTTGCAGGTGGGGAATACAAAACACAGTCCCACCACAATTGTAAGATCCCCTAAAAACAGGATTTAGGGAATAAATGTCACATGCAGACCAGGAAATGGTGGGACACGGGGCAGTGCTTCACACAGCTGATGTGAAACACGTCAGGGTAATTTAGCAATTAAATTCCAGACAGATGATGCCCCAACACGTGTTGCACACCATGGCACAACGCAGGCTCCTGACACAGCACACACACAGAACCCACAGCTCTTCACTGTGGTACAAACCAGCCTTTGGCTGCTCTGTTCCTAAACTTCTGTCTCGTATGGCCAAATTCAGTTTGCCCAAAGCTTCCCTTATCACATCAAGATTAAGAAATCTGGGGAATCATCATGCTATGCCACTGCAAATTATCACAGCTCCACCAACTTTGTCCTAACATGAAATGCCACAGGAGCGCTCAGAATCCAACAGTGATGAATTTAACATGCCTCCTTCCACTAGCCTGATGTCAGCAGAGTTACAGCAATTTATGCAATACAAGGATCTGTCCTTTTCTCCTTATCAAAGCATTTGATCAAAATCAGTGACATGGAAAAAGACAACCTTACTTAATTTGAGCAGCAGAGTCAGGCTTGTCACTCTAACATCATAAGAAAAAGGGAGGTATTTACATATGGGTACTTGCATATTCCTTTTCATCTGGCTTCACAAAGATAACAGCAAGAACACTTTCTTCCTCAGTAAAAACTAGTGTGAAACCTCACAGAGAATCAGCATTTTCTCTTGCTCTTCCCTCCCGCCTTTTCTCCCTTTTGAAAAGCAAGACCTTAAGACATTTCAAATCTTCATTAGCCACTTCTCTGCCTGTGACAGCCTGGTGGTATGGCGTGGCTCCAGCTCCCTCCATTCAACTCACCCTGGAGTCAGAAAGGTAAAACCCTGTTTCTGATGCAACGTGACAAAAAGCTCACCCTGCTGAACAGCAATGTCACGTGGCTCACACATCAGCAATGGCAGGCAGCAGCCCCTGCCCCACACCGCAGCTCTGGAGTGTTTTGAACCACAAATGAGCTCCCCCAGCACCCTCACTCTCAGGATGCATTTTAAAAAAGCGGATGCATAAATTCACTTATTTGGAAACCTGGTCTGCTCAAGAACTTGTTACTATGACAATTTAGAAGAAGCTGCTACAGATAAGATTGATGAAACTTATTGATTAATTTTCTCTCCAGCTATGTTTGAATTTTAAGTTTTCCCTAAACAGAACCAGTTGGTGTTGGTTTGTTAGTATTCCAGGAATTGCAGCAATGTGCTTCAGCAGTGAAGGAAGTTCCGTGATAAATGTGTTCTCCAATCTGCATCTGTAGAGCAGCTATAAGATCAGAACAATTCATGCAAAATTTTTCATTATGTTTTTAAATATACTTATTTACATTTTAAATCACACATAGACAATATGAAATATCTTTCACTTAGACAGGTGGGAACAAGAAAACAGATGCAACCATTAAGCTTGAAACAATTCAATGAATTAAATAGTACTCGGTGAACACTTTGGTTTATGGATATAGCCTTTGTTTAAACTTACTTGAAAAAACACGGCCATGGCTCCTACTACCCTGTTTTCTAGAACTGCTGTTCCGAAACTGTCAAAGTCATCGGGATTGTAGAAGTAAATCTGCATCTGTAAAAATTAAAACCAACAACAAAATCACATTAGTGTTGATCCATAAAGTTTTCAAATGAGGTAGTGCACACACATTGTATGTAAAGCCAGTGTTATGAACCTGAGATGAAGGAATTCTGCTGAACAATACTGTTTAACCAGCATCTTGATTAATAGCATGACTGCCCTACTGGGACAGTAAGCAGGGAACAGAGTCAACGCAATGCATTTTAATACCAAACCAAAGGACAAACAGTATGGTCAGTCTGTTTAGCTGGTAAACTTTGTGCTTTCTGCCAGCATCTCTTCATTTCTTTGCTCATTGCAGGCTCATCCCCTGCTCTGTTAAATGTGCTAAACATATTTATCTCAGAAACCATAGAGAATTTTGAAAAGGATTTCAACGTTTAGAGTTATTCCTTTACTCCTAAAGCAATTTGTAAGATAAAAGTCTGTCTCTGTAGCAATGCATTTTTATGAGCCTCTGATATTCAGGTCTACCAGTTAGGGTCACACTTTTCCCTGTCTTCAGTTAAATTTCGTGACTTTTATTTCCAAAGCGTTAGTACTCTGCAAGAAGTATGAGAAAAAAATCAGATATTTTGATGGAATTTTCAGATGAATAATAAACATTGATAATTAGACAAACTGCAAGTAAAAGAGGGTGAGAACAATGATTACCCAAACTAGAAAATGTTGGAGCTACACAAATACAGAACCAAGAAACAGCTTCCTCCATACACTCTTCGCTGGTGAACAATCCCACCCCACCTCACACACTTGCCATGAATAAGGGCAACCTACAGAGCACCCGTGGGTGTTCCTGCTCTTAACTTCTTGTATGGTTCTTGTTCCATTTCCCACAGTAGCTGAGCTCCCACTTCTGCCAGCCATCCAAACACACTGCTGCTTCTCCAGTAGCTGTTCAACCCCTCCATTCCCAAAGAAACCCCTAGTGTTAGTCCATCTGTATCAGCCACGATTTGCTCCAAAGGATCTGGTTTACATCCAAAACCTGCAATGCTCCCTTCTCAACATTACACCATGCAGGTGTGTGCAGTCATAGGACAAATTCAGTATCGTTTATTATATGTGTGCCCTGTACAGCACAAGTGAAAACCATGTGGCTGATGGTGACAGCCAAGCACAAGAACTGGACTTTGCAGCAGTTGCTCCTGGGGCTACGCAGGGAACCTCCCGGATGGATTTCACAATCCAAACCAGTGCTGGCTGGTTGATGTGTAGGCTCCCTTGTGCACATTGATGCCAGCAAAAAAAAAAAAAATCTGTTCCTGGCTATGAAACGGGAATGGACCCACCAGGCTTCTCTGCCACTGGCCCCTTGCCTGAACCCTGCACACTCACTCCTTTTCTGCTGCCTGTCATCCATCACCCGACCTTTTCACAGCACTGCTAGGTGATAGGAGACACCCACACAACCCACAGTTTAAGGGAGAAGAAGGTCTAGCTGATACTGTCCCTGCATCCCAACACACTGCCAGTCTGACCATCGTTCCCTCCTGCAAGTCTGTCTGCAGGAAAATACTCTGCTGGACCCAAAGACTTGTTTGGGTTTTTCCAAGACAGTGCTGTGTGACAAATCCTACTGTGTCCACAAATGCAAGTATTTTTCCCACATTGGGTATGTGCCAGATGAAGTATACCCTTTTATCTTGCTCAGATACATTCCTACTCACATTTACTGATTCCCAGGCTTTTGACAGGATATATTGCCTGTAATGGATAGGTGCTTTGCCAGTATTATACAGATAATAAAACATCATCATACAGGGAAAAGGCCAAGATGAAGATCAGAGCCTTCAGAGGTAGAGGTACTTTTTTCAGCAGGAGGATGGCCCACCAAAAAAAAAAAAAAAATTGGCACTCACACTAGCTTCATAAAATTTGAAAGCAATTTTCTTCTCCTATTTTGGCCTTCCTATTCCCAGAGTTCTCACAGCACACACAGATATGCTGCTGATATCTCACAAAGTTAGTGGTACCTCTAGATTCTGACAACTCGTGCTTTGAACAAATGAAGACCAAGGTACAGCCATTCATTGATGTAGAAATTAGAAGCAACTTGTTTCAAGTAGAATTGCTTAAACTTCTGTTTAGCCAGCACAGACCAAAGCTGAGAAAACACAAATTACATCTTACTCCTCTTTAAAATAAAGTCTAAAATTATGTATACCTTACATAAAACACTTCACTATACAGTCCTCATAGGAGTTTATGAAGAAAAGTATCACTGAGTGAGTTCAGCATATGCCAAAATCATTTTGGATCAATTTTGCTCACGGCATTTTAAGGAAATTAATTTTTACAATACACTTCAGAATAGCAGTGCAAAGGGCTTTGGTAAAAAAAAGTGTTTTATTCAGATCCCTCGTCTCAGCAGTGCAATCTCACAGACTAATCAAGAACCACACTTTGCCTTGATTACCATACACATTGGAACATTTTACCACTGCTCCCTGGTGTTTTTCCAGAGAGCGTGGTTCCTCTCTCTGCATCCATCACGTCAAGGGGAACTGTCTTGTATGAAAAATTATCGTCATCTGTCATACAGTAGCTTCCTTATGTGTTCATACAGCTAGAAGGAACATTTTAGGAGTAGAGTCTCTGAGGAATTGCTATTATATGATTTACACATGCATACACTGCAAAGCAAATGTAAAAAAGACAGTAAAGTTACACCCTCAAAGCCTCACGGTTCAGGCTGCTCATAAAACCACACCTGGACACTGCTGAGCATTAGTATTATGACAATTTTCTAATTATGTGATCACATATTGTTCCCTTCCATAATACAGTCTCATCTGTTTTCCCCAATTTACAATAAAATGCAAATGTATCAAATGTATTTTTGTTCTTTTATACATAATATACATAATATTGAATACATTTATCAGTAGATAGTTAATTTAATATTTTCTATGGGTAGGATAACGTTCTTTATGCACAAAGCGGGAATAAGACAGTTAACTGTAAAATTAATTTCACCGCATACTTAAGTGGCCTAAACATGCTAGAAAATTTTCATTATTACTCCTTATTATATAATTAGTATATACAATATATGGTGCACTTTGCATATAAATGACTTCTACAGTCTCTGCTTGGGACATACAAAGCAGTAGCACAGAATGCAACAAAGAGGCTTTTAAGCTAAAGAAAATTTGGATCCTATTATAATTTGCTATTTGCAAAATGCAGAAGGGAGCATCATCCAAGCTTGCACATCCAGCCTGAATTATGGTCCTGCCTGACTTCAGCACCATAAACCATAATTTCTGTACATTTTTGCATGTGATTTCACAATAGCTTTTATTTCCCAAAATTAAATAAAAAAATTGAAAAGTTCAGAGGCTGTGAGAATCCCACAGCGATGGAAAAGCCTGAAATACCCTTCATAGCTTCTATAACGTGATACTACCTGTCTGCAGTCAGAACACTCTGTTCCACACATCCATGCTGACAGTGCCCCAAACAGCCTTCCCTGTGGCACAGGTCCCAGAGGGCACAGGCATCCTGTTCTCTGTGGCACAGTATATGAGATTTATAAGACTTTCACATCTATCCCCATTATAACCAACAAGGCTGGGAAAGGCTTACATGGGCTTCCTTAATCTCGGATGTGCAACACAGCAGTGTGCTAGCATGTACCTTGTAAAGATCTATTATAAAAACCATGTAGTGTCCAAGCAACTTGAAATTTTCAGTATTTTGATAAAACTAAGCTGAGACAAACCGTCCCTAGTGACACAAAGGCACTTTTCTTGCAGGAAGACTCTCCATCCTAAAAGGCTATCAACTACTGTAGCTACAGAGCTTTACCAAGGCAGGGAGAGAGCAAGAGTTTGCTTTTAATGGAAAAACTTCATGCTTTGACACTCTTCACACTATAAAAGAATTGTTTTCAAACTTGAGAGAGATTTGCTGTACAGCACAGATTAAGCCTGGAAAAGAATTTCACTGAGGGCCAAATCTTCAGACTGTTACAAGTGCTTTAAAACAGAGGATTAGAGAGAAAGCCATAACCCAGGAGATAATTGCCAGTCACCCTAAGAAAACATGTCATGTTTTCTAGTGTCTGCTGTCCAGGAAAATCCAGTGCCCAACCATTTCAGTTTCCAAGCACTCCAAGCCTATTTCCAGCTGACAACACACAAGTGAATACACCACATACAATCAGCAAGTGGGTAATTCTCCAGCCTGGAGAGTCTTTGCCTCCAAACTCCTACCCTCCACTACAACCTGGGGCAGGCAACCATTTCCTCCCCAGGACAATCTGCAGAAAGACCTTTCTTCAACTGTGTTTTTCCAACCTCTACAAAAATCTGGTGTTCCCCAGACCTGGCAAAATGTCGGGCCCTGCTCTGTGCTTAGATGTTAATGCCAAACTGGGCTGCCACCACGCTGATGTTGTAAGGACAGGCTGTCCAATATGTGCGTGTGTATTACTGAGAAATACTGCCCACCAGAGACCAGTTCTGATTTTATTAAGTACAATTGCCTCTGAATGACTAAACCCTCATTATGAAATGTCACTGGCTTGCAAAAACCGAGCCTGCTTCCAATGAATGGCTTCTCCCCGCCACCCACCCACAAATAAAAGGCTCCATCTCTCTGCTCAGTTGCTCCTCCTCTGCTTGGCACGACACACATCCAGACAGAAATCACCATTCCCATGCATGACATCTCTTTGCTCTCATTACCCCACTACAAAGACACAAAGTTTACATCCAATACAGACTATCATGGCCAAACTCATTCAGCACTTATGAGAGAAAAGCCACAATGAGCGTTTGATAGATCCCAGAAGATGTGAGTGAGTTCAAAGCCATTCTAAGAGGCTGGAAACCAAGCAAGTACATTTTCCACAGACAGATGCCAAGTATTTTAAAAATAAATAATTGAGACTTTTAAATTGGGCTGCTATCACCCTGTGCAACCTCCTACAGCAGATTTCTCTTTAGATTAAAAAATGAACAAAGGCTCATTGTGCTGTCACA